CAAATTGTACACTTTGGGTAGTTTCATCAAGCTTTCAAAGATAGTGTTGACTTCTCCTTATTTCTAGATCTGTATTAATTTCCCTCTTGAAACATTTCTTTTCCAACATTTAATGATGAATTCACATTTTTCTCTACCTATTTGAAAGATGTATTATAGTTGTCTTTGCTCGTTCTATTTCTGAACATTGAATGTTTTGTCCAAGGCTAGTGAGTGTCTACAATGAGATTGTGAGCCCTAGGCTTCTAATCTTATATCCATACTCATTCCCACTGAAATGGATTATCACCCCAGTTTAGAGTTTCCTTTCCCTTTATAGCTTGTTCTTTTAGTTACTCAGTATTTCTTACGCTCTAACTATGCTTAGTCATCCATTACAATAAGTCTGACATCTAAATCATCAGGTTTATATTCAGTGACTTCATTGCACTGATGGTATTTTAGAGAAGGCAATGATGACTCAATAAATTGTCATTCTTCTTATATAGACACTAGGTATAACTCATATCATATTTGCGGTTAACCCATATGCATGTGTGGGGTTTTATGCATTTATTTATCGTTGTTGTTGGTCATTTTTAACCAGCCTAGTGAGACACAGATGCTACTGGTGGAAACTTCCTTCCACTACATGTGCATTTGCATCCATGACATGTAACTGAATGCTTTTGTTTAAAATGTGTAATGTTGGGATTGTTAGCTATTGGAGAAGGTAGACAGGAATGAATGGAAAGAATGAACATGAAGGAGGAAATGGCATGATGTTTATGCTTTATCCCACTTCTTTATCTGAACTTGAATCACATTTAATAGAGTCTTGAATGAGGTAGGATTTTTGCTTCATTTTGGTTTTGCTTATTTTTAAATGTATATTCATTTATATCCAGGGAATGTGATACAGATATGAGGTTCTAGAAGTGTATGAGTTTCTAGAAGTAAAGTTCTAGAACTTTGCTTTTATCCTATCATTATTAAGAACATTTGAGGTGGAATAGGATGTAGTCATGTATGCCCTTAAAGATAAAATGAAAATATATTTATTTATGTTTTTAATATATAATGTAATAATGAACAATGTATTATAAATACTGCATATTATATACATCCATTAGAGATTAATAAATATGCATGGATATTTATAATCTTAAAATTGAAATCTAGATACACTTAGACATATGTACATTAATGTAGATAGGTATATGTAGGTATATTGAATGAATTTTCACCTTTTAATAACACCATGCTTTTTTATTTCTTGGAAGATGGTCTCTGAATCAAATGTGTATGTGATGAAAGTGATTTATTTAATTCTGTTTCAATTTCCTCATATCTAAAATGAGAGAATGATAGCATAAGACTTACATATCTGGTTGTGGACTTTCTCTACTCTATGAGAAAAATTTCAACAATTAGTAAAAACAGTGGAGAGAAAAAAAGAAACACACCTTTGTCATTCGGAAATTCTGTGACATTTGAGAAGTCCAGTGAGGATTGTCTGTCTTGCTAACTTGTGATTACAAGAACTGCGAATGCTTTTAGATTTCTTTCAGAATGACATACAATACATTTCTTTTACCAACTTTGACTACCCACTGAAGTCTAGACTCTCAAATTCTTCAACATTCATATTCACTGCCTGAGGAAAAATGCAAGAGTAGAACAGGGAATGAGAATATGGCATTTAATTATTAAATCAATACATGTGCCTGACTTGCAGAAGCTAGGTACAATTTAAATCTGGTTAAAAGAAGTCAATCATCCATTCTCCAAATCTCTGAAAGCATGCAATCATGCCTTTTGTATCTGAAGGCATTTTGAAGGTTACAACAGTTTAGTGTATAACTAATTAACTAACTAGAAATGAAAACATTTCATTTGCATTGGGCATACTATTGACCTTTTCTTTTGAACTTTTCAAACAGTATTGGAGTATGATAGACATTTTCTTTCTGTGTAGTCACATAATGGTCTTACAGATCTTACACAAATTCATGCAGAATGGGAAAAAAAAGTTTTCTTTCTTGTCAATGTGTGAGCTGACGGTATTTACTACTTATTTCACCTTAAGAATCTGGTGATTTCTTATGATCTTTTTTAGCCACTAATAAGAACCATAAATTAAAACATTATTTACTATGAACTTAAAATCATGCATGAATGATGTTGTATAATACACACCACCAATGTCTCATTTAATATTTAAAGCAAACCAAAGAGGTATGCATTATTATTGGACTTTCATTACAGATGTGGAGACACTGTCGAAGTAATTTCTAAGGTTGAATATCCTATAAATATTGTTGCTAGACAATTAAAAACTTGGACATGGTGTTCATGGCACCATTATTAATAATTGCTAAAACTCTTACTGACCTAAAAATCTCACTCTCAGACCAAGAATTGAGCCTCAGTTTGCTTACCAAGCATTCATGCATGCATATTTTGGTCTCTTTAAATTCAGGGTTAAATGGAAGGAGAACCCAATTTCCAATTATACCTGCAGAGTGTGGAAGAAGTGTTCTCAATAACACACAAAGTCAGTTCAAAAAAGCTATTCTTAGCAAATTTTCTTAGCAGCTCTTTTTTTAAATGTCATGATCATCTTTTCTATGCGTCTATGAAATATCTTCATGAAATGTGTTCATATCCATGTCCGTGGTTTCAAACGTGAGAGGTTGTGAGAAAACTGCAGCTGTGCAGTTTATGTGTGTGGGTCTTCTGAGCTTTTATGAAAGGCTACAGAAGGAAACAAGCAAGAATGCTTTTTTTTTTTCATTTTACAATGTCCACTCCCAATTTTCTCAACAGATTTGAAAAAATCCAATTTACTTCCTATATAGATAGGATAATAGCATTTTTGGTGATGTTACTGTAGTTTCTCTTTCACTCTAGATTGAGCAAAATCATTCCTGTGATATAGACAAATTTATTCAAAAGCACATATATGCTCAGGAATGAAGAATAAATATATCATTAAGAAGGTAGCTTTCTCTTTAAGGCAAATGAATGGAGAGGCTTTGACTTAATACAATGCAGACAATAAATTGCACTTATATTCTGACTGGCTTTTTCAAGTATCCACAGGAGCTTTACAAAATTTAAAATTCTTAACAGCAACATCAAACATCAGATACTTTGGTTTAGATTTTAAAACAAAAATTGATTTAGCATTTTAGATCTCCAATGGGATTGCTTCTGCATTCATGACAGCCACTATCTAGAGGTAGATATGCCATGTAACCAACAACTGCTGATCTAGACAAAGATTTACAGTTTCTGGGAAATCACAAAGATGCTTCTATAACAACTGCAGTGACTGGCCAAGCCAATCTACGAGAGTCAGAGTGTGGGTCTGCTAATCCTAAGCAGCCTATTCGGCCACAATTTTGTTACCTGCAGTTCGGCATTCCTATACAAGGTCAGAACTGCCTGGTCAATCTGTTATAGGAGCCCAACCTTACAAAGTGCCTTTCAGTCTGGGACGGCTATGCAATCATGAGGTATGACCGGAACACAGGGGTGGAGGGTGGGGTGGGGAGAACCATACAACAAGGGACCTCCCCCCAGATCAGTGGAAAGAGTTGTTGATAATATTGAAACCATGGCTGGGGATCTAGGACTTGATCTCAATTACAATACCAAGTCATCAACAAATAGATGAGAAGTGCTTGGAGGGCAGACTCACAACCCCTGTTACTATAGATGACAGAGCACATTTTCTAGTTTCACCCCTCCCTTTTCTTTTTTGTCCTCTATCCCCTCCACAATTGATGCTGCATATTATTCCATCAACAAAAAGGCCAGGCTCTTGCTTTGGCACCATCCTGCATCCTACAGTTTGCTCCATGACTCTGTCAGTGCGGTGTTATCAACAACAATTTGGAGATGAAATTTAAATCCAGGTTATTAGTGCAGAGAGCAGTTGTGTTAGTCATGGGATTGTCCTCCATTCTTCTTATTGCTATGCTATTGTATTCTTTAGAGGCACAAGTACCCACAGTATCTTGAAGAGGATAAGAAAAACAATAAAACAATATACCTATTGCATTCAATCTTGTTTTATAATTTGAAGTCCTGAATCACTCAATAGTTAGATACCTAACCTAATACAATGAAGTATTTAGAGGAAAGTTCTAATGCTTTAACTTCACTAAAAATAACTTCACTTCATAATTCAAGTAACTCTGTGAAAACAGAGGGTACATTTTT